GGTAACCTCCCTGTACTCTCCTCTCTCAGAGGCGACCGGCGGATAGTCCAGCCGTTCTCTCCACACCACCGGAAGTAATAAGCAATCCTCTCCGAGCTTCCTCAGGCGTCCGGGTGACCTCCTCCTCGCTCAGAGGCGACTGGCGGATAGTCCAGCCGTTGTTCTCTCCTCCAGAGAGTGACCCAGGTGTCAGTCCCCGTGTCCCCAGTCCTCCTGTGCTGTAAGGGCCTCCGAAAGCTAGGCTTCGTACTCTCCCACTCTGAAGGGCGACCGATGGTAATACCTCGTCCACTCCCATGAATGAAGCGCGGTAAAATTTATTTACTAAACAAGACGCGTCGTTAAGTGGTTTCCCGCGCGAAACGGCGAGTCTCCCGCGTAAATCCGCGAGTCTACCGCGGATCGCAAGCTAATTTCTTCTAGAAGCTTTTATCGCTTCGCGATTATTTGATTGACGACAAGGATAGAGTGGGATAAACTCCTTTATTTGTCCTTCCTGACGAGAGCGTTTTATCGGGCTGAATTATAATACGCGTAAAACTGTGTTTCGACGGCAGCCATTAGGATATTAGATCTAGCGAAAGGAGATCCTTGGGTAACCCAAGTGGTTCAATCGGTTAAAGTGGTTTCTAGAACGGAGAAAAGAAAATCTGTGAACACTCGGCCGCCGCAATTATCCTCGAATTATATTTCCTCTCTTTCGTTTTCACGGCTAATATTAAACGTCAACCGGAGTCGCCCTTTAGAATCAGACAGCACTGAGGAAACTGGAGAAAAGCGGGGATTTTCTTGAGAAGAGGAGACAGGGGATTAGCCTTTGGATGTGAAAAAAAGGAAATATGAAGAACGAACGGAATTGAGTGCACGAAACAAAGAAGAAGATAAGGAAGAAGTAGCAGCAGAGTGGATTTCACGAAAGGTTGGACGTTTTTTGATTACTCAAGCAACGAAGAGATATCCGAAGGAATTCTTGTGGGACGAGGCATGCAAATAACCGGTTTCCCTCGGTCATGTTTGAACCAAGATTGTCTTTCGACCGATAGAAATGGAGGGGCAATGAAATCTAGAGTGGAATTCGACCTGAAATCGTCGTCTATCCGTCGACTTCCTGTAATAAAGAGAACCGAGCAGAGGTGCAATTAAAATTGAACGAATTTCATGCCGCCGTGGTCTTGGACGATCGAAACGATCGAGAAAGACAGAGAGAGGAAGTGGGAATCGTGGAATGCCCGGATATGAAAGGATTCGCGGCTTACTTTTTATTCCAAGATGAAAAGATCTCGTATCGTATCATTTCGATTTATACGCAGATACTGCTCGGTTCGTTCGTGTGTTCGTTGAGACAGTAGAGCTCCGTTTAAACGAATAATCCTCCAGTTTAATATTCGAACGGCGGAACTTGTTTCACGCGCCGCGCCGGAGAAAATGAATTTCTTTCTGACCGTCCTCGGTTAAGAGGGCCGTTGATACGATTCACGTTCCGATCATTACGATACTCCACGCGTCGTTTGCATGATTATCCGCTGGCGGCTTGCGGAGGACCGACCAAGAACACCGTGGGAATTCAATTAACCCTGCTACCATCGACCGCGATGAACGCTGGACGAATTACCACACCGTTTACCGTTTGCACCAACGGTAGTTTCCGCAATTGTTTTTCCTCCGACAGTTCATCTCGCCGGTTTTTCTCCGTGCTATATTGTACCAGTTTCTACAGTCCGCGGTTTATTAACACGAGGTAGAAAATTCAATTTAACATCTGTTGGCTCCCACGCGATTCGTTATTTGCAAACAGATTTTTAGATTATAATATATACACCCGACTGGAATTTCAGTTAGGCATGCCTAAAGACGAACGTGGGCCTAATGCGGAAACGATTAGGCATACCTAAATGCTGAAAGCCCAATCGTTACCGCATTAGGTCCTAATTCGGCAGGAATGATGCATGCCTAAGTTTTCCTAACAGTTGCCATACGTGGCTGAAATGGGGATGGCCGAGCGCACGCCTAAATTAGGTGGAGTGGGGCTCTCAAACTTATATGTAGGAATATTTACAGACATCTCAGTGTCGGACGTACGCTTGCGTGAGAGCTTTTAACAAGGTAAAAGTTTCTACGGTATTCCTCGTGAGATTTCATTAATGTCTCCCAATGACAGTCGTACAGTCGACAGAGTAGCTAATAAAGCTACTCTAATATGGGCCTAATACGGTTTGCCTCGTTGGAAAAGCCTAATGCGGCCCTAACACGGCTCTCCCAATTAGGCGGACGTGAATATTCCGCGTTACATACCGCATGCGGGCATAACAGGCAAATTAGGCTAGCCTAATGCGGACCTAATATCTGCCTAACTGAAATTTCTAGGGCAATGAAATTCTTAAAGGTTCATTATATGCAAGTCTAATGTCCGAAGGTGTAAAAGGTTCGTACAAGAGTTCAGAGTGTTCACAAGAGTTGTCACAAGAGTTCAGAGTGTTCATCCAAGAGTCTAATAGTTCACAAGCGTTCGTCAGAAGTCCTTCACCACCATCCTCGTCTTTGTAACTGTCCAGTCCTTCTATACATTGTCGTCTGTCCAGAGATGTGTCTTAATGAAAATTGGGAAAACGGTGGGAAAGGTGTTCCGTCCAATGGAGGATGTTCGAAAGGTTCGGGGGGATCTGTCGTTCACGCCCTGTAGTGTGGTTAGTGCGTCAAGTGTAAGCAGCGGTACACCTGTACGTCAAGGATAAGGGAAAATTTTGGTGTTCAGGTCGTCCTATTGTTGACCACTTTTTAGTCAGTCCTTGGTCCGAAGAATAAGATTACGATGCGTCACTTTGCTACTGAGAAGAAAAGGCCAGGCACTTAAGAACCCATTAAGCGTCTGGCGGTTTTCCCCTGATTGTAAAATTAATAATATGCTACCAAACTAAATATTCTAATCCTGAAAAATGGCAGATGTGTCGGCCGTATCCTGAACTTAGGATAATTCGTTGCCCCCAACAGCATCAACATTTTACCTATAGGATTTTTCAAAAACTTCCCAGGTACTGAATGAATGTTATACATGCGCTTTGTGTAGTCGCTTTTTCATTCTGAAATTTTGTTAGAAATAATAGAAATTGTAGGTTAGATGACACGTTGGAGAAATCGATTTTACCATAGTTACTTAATCCTTTGCCACTCGAGATGCGGATTACTCTGGAGATATTAAAAATGAAGTATCACGTTCATAATAGATGCTCGAAGCTTATCGAACGTAAATTACGTACAGTACTTTAACTTTTTGTCGTTTGACAAGGTACGAAAGCTGCGAATAACTGAGATAAACACGAAGTCGTAAAAAGAGACGCAAGAAAAAGGGTTAAAACGAGACACCTTTAAATTTCACTTTTTAACGAACGTTGAAAAATTTCACTTCATCGGAACACCGTGTACAGTAGAAACCAAAGTACAACGGATCAAGGAACGCACAACGATGCTTACGAATTGCTATAACACCGGTGAAAAGAACATGCAATAAACCGAGCGCGAACAACGGCCCATTAATTAGCCGTGAAACCATTTCTTTGTTAGCGGCGTTCCTCTGTCGCCGCAAAACCGCTTGCAATAATCCCTCTATTCACGGGCTCGCGTCGTAAAAGCCAATCGCGGATTTTTCTATCGTTTTGGCGGCGAATAAACACCGCGGGAGCGTTTTTCTCTCTGTCGGACGAAACCTCCGGTTGAAAAATGAAAAAAGGGAGAAAGAAAGAAGGAAAAAAACGAGCGAAAAAAAATGCGTCGAATTGACGGCGGTTTCGGAACCGCGAAAAAACGATTCACGATGCTGTGCAATTTCCGTCAGGTCGATGCTCTCGCGGATTATGCAAATTTCTCGCGCGCGGTACACGTGGATGAAAGGGGGAGCGGGGAAAACACCATCGTCTCCTCGGTCTGCGCTCTGCGCACAGAGTAAATGTGACGCGACTGGACGAATGGAATACCGTTGGACGATTTCGCTGACCAGTCTTGCGTGGCTTGTCGAAAATGGCGATATTCGTCATCTCGTTCCACGAGCGGCATGCGCGCGTTTCATCGACGGCTTGCAGCCACGGCGATTTCGGTTTACAGTATTTCGATTGCCGCGCCGGGGGAAAAAAGACAGCGCGCGTTTTCGGCTCCGTAGGTTACTCGTTTAGCCTTCGTTCCTTTTTTTTTTTGCTTTTCTTGTTTTTTGAGTGGCTTTTAAGTTCCTTTTGAATCTGCACATTTTTTCCACTTTTTCGGAAGAGGATTATTCGGTTGGCAATTGTTGGACGTTCGTTGTGAATTGTTACAACGGTTCGGTGAGATGAAAGCAGATTTTCCATATGTTGCTGTGGTGTTTTTTGGTATTACACGATCTGTTAGAATTTTGACGAGGAGAATATTAAATGGCGATGAATTGTGTACTATTGAGAGCAGGAGAGTAGAAAATAGTGGGAATTTTTTGGACAGTGAAAAAGGAATACGAATAAACTTTTCAGCTTGAATATAAAAATCGTGAAACGAGGGATTAAGTTAGGTTACGAGCATTATTGGTTACTCTGTTACACCATTTTCAATATTGAAATGTTACCTAAAGTCTGGTTTAATAGAATCTTCCTTCGTACTTGTTTGCTTTTAACAGTGTCAATTTATGAATTATTAAACACTTGTTCAACAAGGTTTTAATTAACATATTAGGAATTTTCTTGCTAAACAAGGGTTAGCTGTACAAGTATCTCTAGTGTCACCTGTAACGTCTAATGCTAAAAGAGCTCGGTCTCTTTAGCAACCGAAAGGAGAAAAGAAACTCATGAATTCGCTGGAACTCCTTAGAGCAGGCTGCAGAACGATAAGTAGCCGCTACCGCGGTTATAAAGGCTTTTTAAAATGGCTAAACAGAATTTTATAGAAAGAACGGTATACCGTCGCGTTAAGTTGCCTTAATATATTCGCTGAAAAATTGAGGATCTTCGCGAGAGCCTTCGGGCGGTCCCGTTTCCGCTACCGCGATAAAAAATTCCATCAACTCGGTCCAAACTAAACGTCGCCTCTCCTTCCTTCTTCCTCCTTCCCGGAACAAAAGAAAACAGAGTATAGAGAGAAATTCGAGTAAACAAAAGAAAAGAGAGAAACGTGTAACGAAAAACCGTGCGCGTTATTAATTGCGAAGCAGCGCGGAAATTAAAAGGACCAAACGAATATACGCGTTGGACGTTAAACGCGAGCACCGACAAAGCAGCAAATTGGCCTTTACAACGGGCCGCTGTTCGCGTCCACGGAACATCGCAACGATGAAAACGTCACCGTGCGCTTGAACGTCCGACGATCGATGCGGAATAACGCTGTTCCCGTGGTTTAAAAGTTCGCGATGGTATTATCGAATGTTCGGTATTTTTTTCGGTGTTTCGTTGTTTGGTTCGATCAGCGGCGACGCGTTTCGGGCAATTCGGCCCGGCTGACGCCGCAGATTTCCGTTCAATTCGCTTCGTTTCGGGGAAATCGACTCTTTTTCCTCGACATTTGGCAAAGTGGAGCTTAAAGATCGCGCTCTTTTTTCTAATTTTTAGAAAAATTTGCTTGCAAGATGAACGTTATCTATCTGTATGTATGTGTGTTCGATGATTTCTCAGGTACCTTTGGGAATTTTCATAGGTTCTAAGCTTGTGCCGAGAGATGGTTATCGAGGAGGTAAAAATGTTCGAAAGAGAAACCGTGATCTGAGCGTTCAGAGGATCGGTCAGCAGGGTATTTTCAATAAACCCTCTGACTTGCGTATCTGTATAGAGGTTTTATCGAGGTCTTTGTTTTATCGACGCCGATAAAGCTGCCCGAGCCGATGTCTCGCGAATATTTTACGACGTCCCGTGACCGTGGGTCGAGTGATCATTTCGAGAGGCTTGTGAAATTCACGTTGATCGCCGTGCTGTTTTACTCGCGGTGATGCACGTTCCCACCTAGACGAACGTTTCTCGCGGGGTGAATACTAAATTTCGGTATGAAAACGAGATCGGTTATCGATTACCGTGGTCTGACTTATAACTCGCCGCACCGATGGCATTCATTAAACACGAGTGTTGTATTCCGCGGCTCGCGATTCCTTGCGTTGGGTTATTATTTTCAATAGGTACGCGGTAGGAGAGCCTGACGGAAACTGGGCGAAATAAGGATGCTGTTCTGCGCGTAGTACTATTCGACTTTATTCGTAGTTCGGTGACGTTCGGTGCGTGATGGTCACTAGACAAGAATCTCGTGTTTCGACGGAAAGGTTTCTAGATATAGCTTCGGTAAGTACGAGAGTACGGGTTGGTTTCAGAGGTCAATGTAGGGAGAGGCGGTGAGGTCTAGGTTCAGCGATAAGTAAAAGTAAAGGATGATGTGGAGGTCTAGGTTTCGGGGTGACTAACGTTAGGATGATGCGGATTTGTTTAGTTAAGGAAAGGAGGCAGGATGACTAAAAACTAACGAGAGATAGGAGAGAGGTATACGACACGAGGTACAATTTCCGCATTCCAAATGTGCTCTCTTAACAATTTTCTAGCGGTTGTAGAAATGAACGAACGTTTTCACGGTAGAATTCGTACTGTTTGGTATTTTTCGAACGGAGAAATCGCGCTGAAGTTTGACTCGACGCGAGAGATTCGCGGAGGCTGTCGCTAAATCTAATTGCGACAGCGCTTCGAGCAAATTGCTTCTCTCTCTCTCTGTTATCTTATTATTTCTCGCGGAAATTGAGACCGGGAATGAATAACGCGAAGAAAATCCGTGGGTAAATGGATAACGACATAACGTGTTGCGGTTCCGTTCGCGAACTTCTAAACTCGAGCGTCGAAATAAACGTCTGTTCCGGTTTTCAATCAGTTCCGGTAGGCATTCAGACTCGAATTACCAGGGAAGAGTTTTGATGCTGGCGCTGTTCATTTTCCTCGAGCTTGTCGAAACTACTATGTGGTATTATACTGGTATTTAACTGGTAGATCATATTAAATTTCTGCTTGCTATTCGTCGTTTTATATGTGTGCAAGTGTTCGTTACATTCGAACCCTTTGCAACCAGAATTTTCTCGGTTCGTGAGAAGAAATATTACGGTTCCTTACAATTTTACATGTCATTAAAAAAAGATTGACTAGTGATAATATTGTTGCGAGCACCGCGTATATGCTCATGCCTACTGGTGCTCGCTCCGGAATTGATAAAAAGACGGTTGGGGAATATTGATTCAACAGTCTCTGTTCTTATCCGAGACTGACTGAGATACTCGTACGCTTGTTAATAAATGTTAAGAGGTGTTCGTGTTCAAGTTATTGAGGGGTTTAGTTATATAGATAGTTATTAAATATGCCGAACGAAGGGGAAGCACCGAAGGCAGGTTGCAACAATATGACAGTATAACAATAAACGAGATAAAATTTATAAAATATAGATACACGATATTTAACTTCCAAGTCACATGACATTACATGTTAGATTTATCAGTCAGTTAGATATAACAAAAATTAACCTAACGCCTTACCAGGAAGTATATATTACTTTTGTATACGTTCGGAGAAATCCGTATAGCCTTACCACCTCTGTTTAGTAAAGATCTAAATGTTTATGATACGTGACAAAAGGCCCTTCAGTCCCAAGAAGGGTCGTAGACAATATTGGGGCGTTGCGTAGGAGCATTCTCAGTCTATAGACAGTGCTCTTACCATCAAGTAGAAAAGCGAACCATCCTTGTGTCTAATAAAAGTTTGTAGTTTAAAATAAGGATTATTAATTATTTAACAACCAATAACTCCCATAATCCAATATTACAGAAGATTAATGGAAGTTCTATCTTTTTCATGGGACACTAAAAAGTGTCACATAAATTTTGATCAAACGACACTTTACTGCATTATGTTGACACAGCAATCTGTCGATATTTATTCCACTCTTTAATAAAACACTAGAAAAATTCAATTTTTCCACCGTCGATGAAACACGAACGCACTTAAAGGGTTAACAAAATTTCCTCTAAAAGATTCACAAGGCGACACCAACAAGCATTCCCAAGTTAGCGTAAATTACGAACCATCCAACGATTCATACATCAAACTAGAACCAGGCGACCAAACAGCTTGGAAATACTTTTCCTCTGTCCGCGATCGTGTTATAAATCTTCTGTTTTTCCGCCGCGATATATCGTTCTCTCGATCGCATGACGGTGACTTTTGGAGATTAAATACCGCGCGGGCAAGTATTACCACCGGTCTTCGTTCTCCGTCTATCCCTGCGTCTATACATATTGTACTTGCGGTATCGATCGAACGAAACCAGCCCCGCTCTTACCAACCCTCCTGCGGCTCGTTCGCTTTTTCCGCTCGTACGGGTAAGGATGTAAGCTTCTATGGGTTCCTAGGCTGCGTACGGGAGATCTGCTCCTTGATGCAGCACGTAACAGTATAATATTTCGACGCGTATAGACGCTGCTTGGCGTCCCGTGCAACGATAAAGCGAGTTTCTCCTTTTAAATCTTCGCCCGGTTGTTTCAGACTCCCGCGGAACTATCGTCGTCGGATCGATTAGGAAAATTCGGTTTGCCTCGCGAACCTACGAGCATTTTTGATGGAAAGCCTCGTGGGAAAACGGGCGGAACTACTCTGCAGGATTAATTATAAATTCGAGCTTGGGTATTCTGCGTGGAAAATTGGGAATTGCGCGCTATTTGCGGGAATCGCAACGCGATTCCCTTGAATTATCGATTAATCCTTTTGTTCCTGAATTAGCTCGTCTCTTGTTTCATACCGCTGTTCCGCGAAAAAATTGCTGCCGGTCGAAAACGCGAAATTTTCCGAGAAGAACGAGAATTTCTGTTTAAAAGAATTACGTAATTGTTGCACTGCGAAACATGCGTGAATTTGCTCGCTTGAAGTATTACCGTTCAACTGCCGGCATATTCCGAGTATTAAAATGAAAATGAAACATTTTTGACTTGTGACATTTTCAAATACGAAGAACGTATAAAAAAATAGATTCTTCTTTCTGTACTGTGCATAATTAGAACCATTCATTCTGCTCTTCGTCAGTGTTAACAAGTAGAATAAGAAACTCGCTGAAAACAAGTGATTAAATCAACGAAAATCCCGACTCACCGCTCGAAAAAATTGTTGCATGTGCGCAGGATCGGTGTCGACGATCAATTTATAGATCTCCTTGTGTCTGACCTCTCGAAGGACCTGTCTGTAGGATCCGGGTCCCGCCTGGCGGATGTACATCTCCGTTCTCGCTGATGGTGGTGATTTCACGAGATCCTGCAGCTTGAACAAACCTACGAGAGAACACGGAGAAAGGGACTACGTATTATGTTCTTAATAAATGTACGTTTCCATCGTCGGGTGAGAACGATTGAATTTTCAGGAGGAAAGGTGGGAGAGATATCGAGTTAACACCTCTACACACGAGGAAGATCGAAGGCTCGTCGAATCGAGAGGACTCGATGGCCAGCATCGCTATCGGGTCACCAGGGAGCACGGTTCGAAATGAAATTCGCGAAAAATTACACGAGGTCTCGATGGCGTCACGGCTCGAAACTTTATTTAATCGGGTGCCAGTTTTATTGCCAGTCGGCTTTCATTTCGTCCCTCTTCCACTCTCTCTCTCTCTTGTCTACTACACGCGCCATAGTGTCGCCGTGCTTCACCCTCTCTGTGTGCTCTCACAGGCGCACGTAACAACAGCACTAGACCCTCTTCGAGCGAAATTTCGATCGGCGGGCAAATGATTTTCATTTTTCACGCGGTACTCGATTAATCCACGACGACGTTCCACGACGCGTTCCCGCGTTTCAATCATAATGGAACACGCTTCTCGCGGCTTTTCCACGTCAATTTTGGCATCCGCTGACCGGAAAAACGTTTAACGAATAGTCCCGTTGCCTTTTTTCGTAGGCAAATATTTGTTCGACAACTATGGCTCGCTCGTTGGCCCAGGAAAAGAGAGCAAAAAGCTGGGATAGCGTAGGGAACTTATAGAATAAAAATAATCGAAGTTACTCTATTTTCGTTTAATTAGAAAAACACTCTTCTCTCTGTGACAACATTTGTTTCAGCGATTTTTAGATTGCACCTTTGTGAAGCTCGCTGGTGGAGGGCTCTCCCTCTGTCGCAGGAAGAAACCAGGCTAAGCGAGGATTCGCCAGGCGAAATAATTCAGAGTTCCACCATTCGCCGGGCGGAAAACGTAAAATTGAAAGATAACAAACCGCTCCTTAGACGTGGTTTCCAATTATCGCTCCGCCTTTTGCAGAGAGGTGCGCGTACTACACGTTGAGTGGCCCTCTTTGTGCTTCGTGTATACATTTCTAGCAACAACGGGTTGGTCGACGCGGAGGTTGGGAGGTGGAAAACGAACGTATGGGGGAGAGTTTGGTTTATGGAACAACCCTCTGGTACCGCGGTCTGGATGGTTCTCTTGGCTGGTAATTTATGACGGTTTCGCACGATACAGAAGGCAGAGTGGAAAAGGGGAAAGAATTCAGAAAGCTTGCAGCCACTGTTTTTTACCCGTTTATCGAGTGTGAGTTTGTTCACTTTTCTAGACGCTTTCAGATTAAACAAGCTTTTCTCTGATTCTGGTAGATCTCGTTAAGGTAAGGTGAGGCAGTGCGGAAGGTTCTTTGTTCTTTCATTATCGCGATCAAGAGTTTGGAATTATTAGACGTTTGCGGGAAAAAGAAATCAGGGCGTTGAAACAAGTTATTCCTTATTTGTGTACTTATAAATTTCTGAAGATGTGTTTCGAATGGAGAAACTCTGGAATTTCTAATGTTATGGAAATGATTGCCTTTTGAAAAATGTTTAAAAGTCTCCTGAAGAATTCTGCGTATTAGAAATTAATAGTAGAATAATTGGAGCTGAATGTAGTATACTTTTGCAGGTATACTATATGAAGAACTTCGAAATTATAGAATGATTAGTGAGAAATAAATTGGCATATAAATGCATCTTAACAATTTCTATAATTTAAAGTAAGAAATGAAGAACTGTGCATGTATAGTTCGTCATATTTATACATCAGTATAGATCTATTTATCAGAAAAGAACGAAATACCAAATAAAATTTCAGTGTCTGAAGAGCCCTCTAATAACTTCCAACAGTTTCTGTAATTTAAACTAAGGAAGGAAGAAATATGCAAATGCACTTCGTACAGGTCTGTTTATCAGAAACGAACGATACAGTAAAAACCAGAAATGGTAAATAAAATTTCTCCTAATAACTTCCAACGGCACAAACAAATTACCTTCGCTCACCATTCACCATTCGAACGTTACTCGACCCTGCACGGCCCGTTACCCGAAACGTGTATCACTTTTGAAAAGCCGGTGAAACGTCCCGTTCGAACGAAGACCCCCGGGCCAAAATTTCCTCTTCTAAGCCCTGGCCAGGTCTCCGGGCTATACAGATCACGGAGGCTCGCGCGTTTTCCCGCTCACGAACGTTCGAATACCCCTTGTGAAAGGAGTTTCTCGAGCGTTCAACTTCGCCGAATGTTCCCGTTGAAAAGAACCGCTCGTCCCCCCCGCCCCTCCCTGTCCCGATTTAATATTTTTCGTATTGGTGCGCTGTTACACGAAAACCGGTTCACAATGCCGAGCCATTCTCGGGCCCCGAATTTCCACGGTTCTCTCTCCATTCACGTGAGCGAGCTTGCCGTAGCTCGGAAACTCGCAGAGCGTCTAAAAAGGATCGAGCCGTCCTCGGTTCGAAGACAGAGTTTCTACCTCGGGTAATTAATCTGTCGAAGAATAATTGGCAACGAACGGCAGAGGTGGCGCACGATTTCCACACGAGTTTCGTAGAGCCCTTGCTCTGTAACAAACGACGGAGACTCCTCTGTGCAACGTTAGCGCAGCTTTGTTGTTCGAACGAGAAGCTCTCCCGAGGCTGTTCTCTTCGTTGATTCTCGAGCAGGGCGATAAATATCGCGGGGAGAATTTTCGAGAAACACACTTTGTTGCTTCGTGAATTCAGCGAGGGGTTTTCCACGTAGATTCGAATTTTTCGATCGGCGAGAAAGGGAAATTAGCGAAGTAACGAGGAAGCGACGATAGCGTCGAGGTTCTTCTTATTTTTCGAAGGTTCGAGTGACGCGAGAAGCGACGGAGAGAGGCGCGAAAGCTTCTCCACGCCACGAATCGCAAGATCTCCGCGTATTTTCGGTGAATGGTCGCACGGGAGAATATATTTCATCGAACGGAATATCGAGGAAATGCAGGCTGGCATACTCGAGCGAGACGGAATTTTCAGATGTCTCTGGCTGGCGCGGAATTTATGGCTGTCATAGACATCACGAGGACGTAAAAAGAAAAAAATAAGGGACGATCTTGCAAGGGTTTTTCCTCGTTTCGCTTTTCTCCTTCGTCGCTGTTTCTGGTAAACGATCGCGTCGTTTAATCAGGAGAAGGAATTCCGAAAAATGATCCTTCCCCTTTTCACCCCGGTCTTCGGCTAATTTGTAAGATAGGACCGTGTACTTTGCATGGCGATCAATTCACTTAGAATAATGAAATCAGCTCTCCGTTGTACAACATTCGAATGACAATTGAACGGTTAAAGAGGTCGGTTCGGTTGGGGCAAAAATTCATTTCTGGGCGGAGGCTTTTTGCGTTTCGTTTAGAACGGCGGAATATCGCTCGGTCAATATTTCAAATACAAACGCTTTTACTTTATTCCCTGTTTGCCTCTCGTAAAAATCTCGCGCCAATTTGCTCCACTAACAAAGAACGCCAACTCTAATGGAATTGAATCTCGCCACGAGTGGCTTTTCACACAAGTTTCGTTAGTACGATGCTCACCTCTCCGTCACACGCTAGCAAAAAGCTCGAAATAAAAACTTCGACCTTTGCCAAGCTTGGAAACACGAGCTACCTCAGCTGGTAGTAATTAAAAAGGAGGATGTGGGGCAACTTCGGAAGCTCAAAGTCGCAAGCTCGGGCCGTAAATAAAGTAGAAGTTCGAAGTGAAAAGACTCGGCCTTTGCGAGCTCACTTTAGAGCAGCTGAATACGAAATCAGAAGCTTCTACCTTGGAAGCTGAAGGTTAATAAGGACCGACCTTGCAAGCTTCGCGAAAAGAACGAGGCTGAATTCTCGATGATGAAGTTACATCGAAGCTTCGACTTTCGGACATTCGGATCGATAGCGTTCAACCTGGTGACCTTCGGGTCGACGCATTTTCCGGACTCGAAAAGGTGAAAGCACACTGTGTCCACATATGTCTATGTGTTTCTCAATGATGTTGCAGTTTGCGAGCTTTGAGCTCATTACTGCTTCGATCATAATCTTTCGCCTATCTGTTTCCCAATACAGATAGGTATTTTGTTCGAATTTTGTGTCGTTCGTTTTTTGTGGGTTTCTTAGCCGTAGGGTTTTTTGCCCTCGTTTCCGTACCCGCCACGTGGAGGCGAACCCATTTCTACTTGGTTTTTAGACATTTTGTTTCTTTATTTGCAGACATTTTTGTTGCTTTTGTTTTGGATTGTGCACAGCACAATCTATGTGTATATTACTTGGTAATATATTTCTCTTATATTAATTTATAAATAGTTTATTATGTTTACGATTTTGTTTGATTCGATTTGTGGATGTTTCATTTGTTTTGTTATATCTCGAGGTCACAACTTTGTTGTAATCTGTGTCCACATAGTCGGAGAGAGCCACGGAAGCTTCCCATTCAGGAAACCGAACCGCAAAAAGCCATAACGTGGAAACTTCAAAGTCAAACAAGCCGCGACCCTGTGAGCTGAAACTTTAAGTGCCTCGACCGTGAAACTGAAACTCCCGATCCATCGAGGTATTCAATTTCCCTCCCGCCGAAACTTCGATATCTCGCGGATCTTGGAAATGGAGAAGACGGATAGGAAGCATCGGCGAGTTTGTACGACGAGTTCCACGCAAATTTACGCGGGGGAATTGTTGTGCGACGCGTTTTGCGTGCGAGTGACAGGCCGACATTTCAGTGTCCCGCCGGCATCCACTTCCGCCGGCTGATTCCGACGTCCTATTTGCATAGGGACGCGTCTCGCCAGCCGACACGATGCGTGGAGCTGTTCTTTGTTGGGGAAAAAAAGCAGAGAGAAGGAGAGAGAGAGAGAAAAGGAGAAAAGCGTAATGACTAGTCTTTGTAACATGAGGCGTGAACCGCGAGATCGCTGTCCCGTAACTCCTTCGAGAGAGACCACTCGTACTCTTGGGGAAATCCTCCTGCACCTGGAACGTTTGCTTTGTTGTTTCGAACGACGCGTCGCGACTCTTTATATCGCGTTCTGACGGGAGAACGCAATGCACATTGTTTTTGAAATTATTAAACGGAGAGACGACGAGTTGATTTATTGGTGGAAAGGCAGGCGGAAGTTTGACACTTTGAGTATAGAGAGAGAGAGTGTAGAGTTTGAGGTTGCAATTATTTGATATGCAAACTTTATGAGGGTTTTGCATTCGCGTTCTGACGGGAGAACGCAATGCACATTGTTTTTGAAATTATTAAACGGAGAGACGACTAGTTGATTTATTGGTGGAAAGGCAGGCGGAAGTTTGACACTTTGAGTATAGAGAGAGAGTGTAGAGTTTGAGGTTGCAATTATTTGATATGCAAACTTTATGAGGGTTTTGCAATCACAGCGGAGATGAAGGGAATGCTCACCGTAATCTTCCTCGTAGATTATGGCCACTCTGGTCCAGTTTAAGAACGACATTAGGTCTTTGAAGGCTTTGTTCAAGTGGTCCTGCGAGGGATAGAGGTTTATACTGAACTCCTTGAAGGTCGGCTCGAAGTCCACTCTCGCTTCTAGATGCGGGACGTCCAGAGCCTCGCAGATACTTTGGATGTGGGCACCTAGTAGAGGATCGGACGGGCCGAAGATCCCTTGGACCGATCTGGAGAGCTGCTTGCACGCTGTGGAAAGTCGAGGGTAGGTCAGTTGAGAGTTTCTGAATGTGTCGTCGATGGAAGAAATGTAGGAAAGTAGTACAAGATCTAAGCGACATATAGTGGACTCAGGAAATATTTATGTGCAATTAAAAATATTCTTCGTACTCAGTTTGTTACGAATTTCTCAAATTTTTGCTTATCGTACTAATTAATTCCGCGTTTTAACCCTTTGTCTGTTATCTAAGAGACTGAGACAAATTTATATCGTTTCAAGGCACAATTCGATCCGAAATAATTCAGATGCTAAACATAATCGAGACGCTGCATAAAATAATCCGACTAACGCGATATAAGGCGAACTTAACTCCAGAACACGTTTCATACACGTTGATTATTAACTCGACCGCACGCTACGCTGGTCAGCAGTGAAAGGGTTAATTCACGAAATTACGTATATCCCAGCCATTGATATTATAATTAAATTTAACAAGATAAATTGGCAATAGAATTGCAAATGCGAAGCGGCAAGTAAATCCCTTATTAAATGAAATATGCTGGAAAACAGGATTCAGGGGACGCAGGAGGAAGAAACCGGCGTGAAAGAAGCGTGAAAATGGAAATACGAGGAGGGCTGCATGTGACACGCCGATTTCATATATCCAGGGGACGCACACGGGAGTCGTATATCGAGGGAGAGAGAAAGAGAGGAAAGGTGGGCGCGACGCGACGTGGCGCACCGAAGATCCAGGTCCTTCGCCGCGTCTTTGCTACGCCGTTTCCTCGTAATCTTCTCGTAAACTTTCACCGTTCTCGGTACCGCGAACGTGCCAGAGAGATTGACGCGAAACTTCGTCTTCTCTCCTTTCCTTGTGCCCGTAAACAACTTGCCCCGCTACTTCCTGCCGCCCGCGTTTCCCTCGTTTAAAGCTAGTTCCGCCACCGTTACGCCTCTTCGACGGACGTTCTTCCTCTCGTTGCCGGTGAACCACTCACGAGGCTACCATCTAGACGACCGATTCACCGAATTGCCCGTAACACCTCGGTGTGCGTCGCGGGATGCTCCCTTTGTAGGATAAATGCTCGAATTTCTGATCGAGGATTTTGGGAATAACGCGCAGCTACTTAGAGATGGCTGGAGAGACTTAACTTCTGGGTTTTGTGTGTTTGACTGTTTGGAATTTTGAAGTATTGATAGTTCAGACTGAGGGAAAGCTGTTGTTGAATTCGTTTTAATCCTTTCGCTACTGCAGGTTTTAGCGCGCAGCGTGTGTGGCAGACGGTGAATGTTTAATCACGGCCGCAAAATTTGCTGTTTAAACCGTTTATGAAATTACGGTGGAAGTGTGCCAAAAGGCTCTAACGCTATAGCCCTAGCGAATTTTGAAATTAGGAAGGCTTAAGGATTCTGTAATAACCATTTTTAGCCTTTGCGAGCTTGAAAATGTGTAGTTTCTTTGAACCTTCTACAATTATTATCATTTTTCACTAAAAATATGCACGAACACCCAACTAACAAATATATCCTTCATCTTAAAAATACTTCAACTTAATTTCAAGCTAGAGTTCAAGACAAAAGGAAAATTCTCAAGAATTCCGCAACACTCGGGAAATGGCATATTCCCCGATATTCCAGATTGCGTGAAATCAAGTTACACGTCAATCAACGTCAAAAGTGTCCCTGGAATGACTGTTTCACAGGCCCATCAGATTTCCATCACAATACCGCCACACGTGATATTTTTCTATCGACTGCGTCCATATTCGAGCCTCGGCTCGTGTATTAATCGAGCATTCACGTAGACGCGACGCGGTCGTGTGATTTACGAGACCGATGTCTACGCGAGCATCGCGGAAAATGGACAGGAAATTGATACGTTATCAAACCGCCGAGCTTCCTGATCCATTATCCGTGATATACCTTTGAAATCCGGCTGTTCTCCTTTTCGAAACGATTGGTTGGCACGCGTGCAAACGCCTCTCGCGGTGGATAAAATGGACGAGTTCGATTTCGAAAGTGGGATTTCGGCGTGTCTAAGTGTTCTCCACTTGGATCCCGCGTCCTGAATTATTCACGAGACCTTCTAAAAAAACGGCCAGACTGATCGTCTGACTCATCGTTTCCGCGTTCGCGTTGCCGGTTTCACTTAACGTGCGATCGGAAGCTCGTTAAGCGGCGAAAGCTCGCTGGAGAAACTCGTGGCTCCGGTGAAACGAAATTGACTCTCGATCGATGTATCAAGTCATGCGAGCTTTGATGTTGCTTGCAGTTATTCAAATTTGTGGATTTGAGACTTTGAGAAGCTGAAATTTCGTCTGATAAAGTGTATTAATCCTCGGAAGGCGAATGGTTTTACACGGGAGACGAATGCAGGCCGATTTTGAGCCATACCAAAATTTCTATCGTGTGTCACATACACTACCGGCCAAAAGTTTGAAATCACTGTGCATTGCAATTTACACGAAAATTTCCAGAAAAAATTCAGCAGCTTTAAGAATTTTTTAACGAATTTTGAGATAAATCGATATGAGATAAATTGCTATTCATCTCAACAATATCAGTATCAAGTCTATGAAAAATTAGTAGCAGATTCAGTACTGATGAAAATTGGGAGCCAAAAGTTTGGAATCACCGAGTGTATTGCAATTTACACAAAAATTTCCAGAAAAAATTCAGCGACTTTGAGAATTTTTTATCGTTCGAATCAATTGATATGAGACCAATTGATAAAAGTAGAATTGAGATAAACTTGAAATCTATAAAAAGTCAGCAGCAGATTTAATATTGATGAAAAGTGGCAGGTGATTCCAAACTTTTTCTTTCATTTTTGGTAAATTACGTATTCGTGCTCGATAAAAATATTGCAATTTGTTTCTTCGAAGATTCTAATACAGTAGAGCGTGAATTATCTGAACCAATTGGGACCGAGGTGGTTCGGAATATCGAACTGTTCGTATAATCAAACAGTTCATTTAATGAAACATATGCATGAGTAGTTTTAAGAAAATGTGGCCAGCATAAGAGAGAAAGCGGGCGACGAGCGACGGTAGCCAGGCCCAACGGGAAAAACAGACGAGAGGTCCACGAAGGGCCGGGCTATAAAGTACGGCGTGCGAAGAAGCGTGTGTCATAGTCAAATGTATTATAGTTATTCACATATTTTGTTAATAAACATCTATCTATACTTCTAACGTAGGAATTTTTGAACATACAAAATTTCGAGTATTAATTTTGTAGTATCGGGGCCTCCATACCCAAACAGGAAACCTCGAAGGGACAATACAGAGGGAGTGGTTGGCGTAGCGCGCAAAGCCTCGGCTTGCTAAGCCGAAGGTCCCGGGTTCGATTCCCGTTGGGTCCTCAATATTTTTCCCTAGGTTCCGGGATGGAGGCTACACGAAGCCAGGAGGCGTGCGATGAAAACATGTCGAGAGTTGCACGTCTCCCAAAAATGCGTTGTTTCTGCTGTGTGCCACTGTGTGTGGGAGTGTGCCCGAAAGTGTTGAGTTGTGCTGCACTGAGGACATTCGAGGGCGAATCTCAGTTCGGGATGGAGGCTACACTGAGGACATTCGAGGGCGAATCTCAGTTCAGAATGGCCGAGTGTAGTATCGGGGCCTCCATACCCAAATAGGAAACCTCGAAGGGAGAATAGAGAGGGAGTGGTTGAAGGTGTCCCGAGTGTTCGATTCCCGTTGGGCCCCTCAATATTTTTCCGTCGTCGGTTCCTACAATTTTAACATTAGTAAAGACAGAAACACGTACACAATTTATCGTTCCTTTTTCATCCACGTCGAAGAAGCTAAATTCCCCCGAGAAGCTCGGTGTATTTACTCAGCTGGAGGAGTTCACCTAAGCGCCAGCGTTTCATCGATTCTCGACGATGGTCTTTCAGCCTCGAGTTCTGTCACCGAGCAATCGGTAATTCTATTTCGAGGCGTTCGTTTTCGGGGAAAATTCCGAAAAACCTCGGATGCCGGAGACTGTTCTTTGCGAACGATTCACGATTCCTCGAGGTCGTTGCCTGTCCCTTGATTAAGTCGAACTCTCGTCGCTGGTAAATAAGTCTCGTTACTTCGTTAAGATATCGTTGTCGTGGTTAACGAACCGACTCTATCTCGCGTCGAAACGCTATGCGATAATACGCTTTGAAACATCGGCCACCAGCCAGGCACGCTCGTTCACGCCTTCCGACGTTCCCATCAGCTTTGAGAGCGTTCTCGAGGAGTTTCCTAAGAAGAAGCCTAATAACTTATTAATTAGCGCCGTGAAAGCACTTTCACGTGGATAAGTATACGTCTGCGTAAACTCGACCGTTTCTACTTTAGCGCGAAGAGTAAGTAGGCCACTTCGCTGAAATCTCACGTTGTATCGTTATTTTTAGAAATACGATAATTCAACGTACACGTGGGAATAATTAAGACAGACAGGGTATTTTATTCCGCGAATAATAATCCGTGGAGTGCAAATTAACCAGCGAAAAGTAACGCCGTATCGATATCGAGACGAGTATTAACGAAAATTATTCCAGCAACAGGATCGTTGATATCGTTATTAAAACCCCCCTTTAATCACTCAAGCAGCGTATTAATCCAATGAAAATTTCGCAGCGATAACGTCCTCCCTCCCAAAAAAAGTTCACTCTTCTGCGACGTGAAGTCGCCGTTTAAAATTTCTGGTTTAACGATCGCGAAGTATAGGCGTAACGATCGAGTACCATCAGGTGCAGAGAGTAGTAGGATGACATTCGGAAATGGCTTCGTCACTAATTTCCGCGGCAGCTGCGTGAAACATCGTCATTGTCGCGGCCGCCATTTGTGTGCAATAGCGGCGACGAGAGAAACGAACGGAGGGGGGCCAAAGGTTTGCGTAACAATGCCGCGTTAACGGTCACGGTTCGCGAATTCACCGGAGAAAATCGCGAACGCTTTTCCTGCGGGCGTTTTCGAAATGGTAACGAAGGGAAACGCCGCGTTTCAACGCCGTTTAACACGCCGCCATTTCATTTTCTTCCCATCCTTGTCGG